ACCCTGTGAAAGTCATCCTGGCTGCCCAGCTAAAACCAACAGGCACCTATATCTGGGGGTAGCAATACAGCAGCAATATAGTAAATGCTGGAAATTCGTGATTATATTTCAGTGACAACTGTGAAGGTATCATTTCATACTGCACAGAGGAAGGCAACAGTGAAACACTCCTGTATTTTATATATACAAAGCACATGGTTAGCAATATAAAGTGATTGATGACATAGTCACAGATTATGAGTTGCTGAGGTTGCATGGCAGTCAACTTGCTACTAAGGAAGAGCTGAAGATCTTTTGGAGTACTGACACTATTTATGAGGCAGATAAATTAATGCTTTCTGGATGTCTAGTTATCAATATTGCAATGCAGAAAAAGAAAATCCAGAGAAACAACTATAGTGGGAATATGGAACAGAGAAGGCATGAGCACCGGAAAAGCAGAAAAAAGATGAAAAGAATTGACTATACATTAACATCTTAGGCATCTGTGAATTTGAATGGATTGAAATTGCACAGTTTCTGTCAGAAGATCACAGGGTTTATTAGTCAGGATGTGAAAAATAAAGAAGAAATGGCATTACTTTTATAATCAGGAAAGATATGGCAAAACCTGGGTACAATGCTGTCCAGTAAACTTTGTGGATATCCTTTTAAAATGATAGTTGTTCAAGTTAATGTTCCAGTCACTAATGCAGGAGAAGAGTTGGTTGATGAGTTTTATAAGAAGTTCAAACTGAAATTGATAGAATGTGCAAGGAAAATAGGCTGCTTATGACTGAAAACTGGAATGTTAAAGTAGGAATTACTTTCGGTCCGTTTAAGACAATTTTGTCTCCTGGGAGCTGCCTGGAACCAGTCCCTGCAGTTTTCTTGGCAAGATTTCAGAAGTGGTTTGTCCTTGTCTGCTTCCTAGATCTGAGTGATTGGCCCAAGGTTCCCCAGGTGGCTTTGTGTCTAAGGTAAGACTAGAACTCACAGCTATACCTAGTGGGCTTGTTAAAGTAGGAAATAGTAAAGAGGAAAATGTAGTTGGACTGTACCATCTAAAAAACAGAAGCAAGAGAATGACTTATTAGTTTCTGCCATCCAAGGATCTCCTCAGTGATAACATAGCTTTCCATCAACTCCAAAAAGGCTACATCTATAGACACTGATGAAGTATCCAGAGGTCAAACTAATTATATTATGGATAAAAAGAGATGAGAAAGCTCAAGTACAACAACAAAGATGTCAACAACAAAGATGTCAAAATCAGAGATCCATTGTGGTACAGATCATGAGGAGGAGGAGGAGGAGGAGGAGGAAGAGGAAGAGGAGGAGGAGGAGAAAAAGTAGAAGGAGGAGGAGGAGCAGGACTATCAGTTTCCAAGATAAAACTGGCTAAGGATAGATTGCATGAAGGAAAACCTATCTACATGGTAAAAAGGAGTCGATAGCACCT